TTTGTGGGTGGGGAGTGTTTAGAAAACAAGCTATCTCAAGTCATACATATCCTTTATAAATTTCAAATCGGGAAATGGGAATAGAGCAATGGCAGATTTGATGCTTCGTCATGATTCACTGATTCTTAGACATGATACACGAAGAATAAATAATTGCATGTTTTGATCTATAGTACTCAATACAATTAGTACACTAAGGTTATAACTTATTTTTCTTCCTTATTATTGTTCAATATTATGTATAATTTCCTTCTGATTAAACATGCCATAAATGGATTATTAACTATACTCCGATGTTGATTTTATTTGTTCTCTCGATGGATGAATTGTGAATATACCTATCGGACTCCTACGAAAGTAGATGACAAGAAGAAAACGCATCTGGGTGTCTTGGTTCACAAATGTTGCTAGACACCAGTTCCAAAGTAGCGATCCCCAAACTCGCCCATGCCCGGAATCACACGCAGATCCTTGTTGAGGGACACATCTATCTCTGAAGTCACAATTTTCAGCCTTGGAAACTTCTTACAAACAGCATGTATTCCTTCAGGAGCCTGCATCATCATGGGATCATTTATCGAAAAACTAATACATGTTAATGCCACAGAATTTTGGAATTTAAATGAAGTTAAATTACAGAATATTGACTCACAGAAATGAGATTTAGGAAGATGATGTTCGATTCAACAACACCCTTGCTCAGCAACACGGATATAGCCTCAACGGCAGAATGCCCTAATAATTGTACAAGCAATCAATGACATGTTAAATATTTTTATGTCATCAAGTGAATGGATTGTGTTACTAACCTGAGGCAAGAACTGGGTCGAGCAATAGTACATGACGACTTGCGATGTCAGCTGGTAGCTTCTCATAGATTAACTGCAGCAATTTTGTAGCATGAGAAATTCTTAGAGAGGAGAAAGGGCCGAGAATGGCAAAATTTGTAAGACATTTGTGGCATATTTGGTAAGATACACTGGACGACACTAGCTTTACAATATCAATACATTGTGCTGTCAAGATCTGTCCAATATTACCCTTGTTTAGTTCCACAAGAATGGCAATATTTGTGGACATATGGTAAGATACACTAGACAGCACTAGCTTTACAATATCAAGACATTGTGTTGTCAAGTTCTATCCAGTATTACGTACCAAACATAACCCTCAAATGGTTCCACAAACCTGACGACCATCTTTGCCCTCTCTGTGGATTAGGATTTTGCCAATTTTAATTCCCTTACAACAGGCTCTCAGTGCATTCTCCATGCTTTCACCACTAGTGCCAGAAAATTCAAGTCATTAGAACACTCAGAATATAGATAGCAGAAAGCAAGTATAAATACACAGACAATTTCAAGAGGTCAAAAAGATCACAATTTTCCAGCTATCCTTGTTTCCTTGTTCTATTCTCCAAATAAAATATATGAAAAAAATTATGAGTGCGCTCTAGAGAAATGACAGCCAGAAATATAACTTCTCATATATACCCTGCTTTTCTTGAATAGGAATCTATTCTACAATCTAAGAGGAATCATATCATTTCTAATTGTCAAATCCAAATGAAATTTCTTTTCTTGATCTTCTGCGATGTTTAATTAGTTATATTCATCTGTATAAAGAATCTGTCATGTTTAATGTTCATTGTTACCATGAGTATACATTATGAGTTGATGAGCACTATTCCTAAAGTTCAACCTCCAAACTACGTTCTACTTTTGTTGGAAAATATATAATATATTAATTTATATATTTGTAGTATTTTAATCGAAGTGTCCCCAACATGTCCATGTTCCGAAAAACTGTGTTGAACTGTTCATGTCATGTTGTGCCTTT